CAGGATTTCTGACCCTTATAAATCTTTCAAACAGTTCATATTTAATCAACAAAATAGGCCTTTCTACAAACCTAGAATGTAACTACTCATTGAAACCATATTTCAAATATTTGACCTTTACATAAAAGAACCAGAAAAAGAGACATCTGAGTAATTTTAAATATCATTAGCTCTGCCTTTTCTTGCATTTCATTAATTTTACTTTTTAGAGTTTATAGTTCATTGATCATAAAAACTATGAATATTAAAGACTCAAAAATATTAAATCAAAGGTAAATGGGGACATGCAACTTTAAAAAAATCCTTAAAGCCAGCCTTGAATTTACGGAGACAAAAAGGCTCCCTGATGTCAAACCCTATTTCATTCACACTTTCCGGAGACTGTCTCGTAGAAATGAAATCCAGGCACTCCCAGGGGAAGGTCCAACACTTTGATTGGCAGTGCTCCAGAGGCCAACTTCAGCCGCTGCTTCAGCTCATGCTCCTATTGACAATTTCTCCCAGCAGTGCTGAGGCTCTTCCTTTACAGCTCTATATGATGGCTTCACAGAGACTTGCCATTTGTAGTCAGCATCTTGATTTAAGATCCAAGGTGAGGAACGAGCGCAGGAGCAGGGGAGGCAGTAAATTCCACTGTCTCACTTATTATGGAGGTGTCTGACTGAATCATGATGTACAGCTCAGGCTATCAGCTATAGGTTACTTCACTGTACACAGACATTCACTGAAATCCCAAAATCCACACCCCAGCACATCCAGCCCTTAAGTCACCCATGTCTGACTATATCTGATTTAAAATGTGAGGACCTCAAAGTAGAAACCTTGTCTTCTCTGGCTTTGTCCATCACTGAGCACACCGGTAATAATCATGTGAGCTCCAGACCCACTCAAAAAACCAAAGTACACAAAATTCTTCCCATTTGCTTATAAGTATTTGCAAATGCTCACTTTGCTGTTTACTCATTTCTTTGTTTTTATTTAAAGCATGAAACATTCTTACAAGACAAAACTGTGTAAATCAGAGTGTGTTTCCTAAAAAACAGTCATCTGAAACTGTTAAAACTGATTGTGAGTCAATCCTTTCTAAAGATTTACTTTTTAAGCCAAAAAAACTGATCATCTTCAAGTTAAATAAAATGCCTGCCAGCTGTAATTATATTAGACCCCCACCCCCCTTCTGAAATCAAATCCCAGCAGAGCATCCTCTGCCCACGCAAATCAGCAGTACTCCAGTGATTATTCAGTCGTGCCAAGTCTTCTGGAAACTAGCCTTTACTACCATGTTCAGATTGGTAATTATTCTATAAAATGACCTGGTGCTGAAATTGGCAGGTAGCTGTAGCAGTGAGGGTCAGCTACCACACTACCCAAAATATTTCAAGTTTGCTAAAGCATGACTTGTATTTCAGAAAGTGCTTTTTCCTGATAATATTATTTTTTAATACAACAAAATGTTATATTCTTTACGAAAGACTGTCCACAGCCACAATAATCTACCACTTCTAAGAAAAGACATGAGAGTTACAATGAGAGATGTCTAAAGAGAAAATCCACAGAATCCATCAGCAGAATCTATTGGTGGGAGTGCATGGGGAAATGGCCCACATTTTGCTGAATGCAATAGCCAACAGTTTTGTACACCAAAGACAGTCAGTGAAGCAACAAGATGTGATGTTATTTTATATTTGTTTTTGGTAAACAGAGAAAACATTATAAAATACTATACCATAGAAAACAGCCTTGGATAAAATCATCATGAACTGATTGGGTTTAAATAAGTCTATGGTTCTCAATTTCAAATAGGCAAACTTTGAGAAATGACAGGAACAAATTAATCAAGTCATATGGATTGAAGAGCTTTTGAACCTGAATGTAAAGGAGGCTTGGGGTTTCTCTGAGGTACAAAAGCAACCTGGAATTTTTACCTTGAGCATAAAGAAAAAAAATGTGTAGGGAAGCATCCCAAACCAATGAGCTGAATTAACATCTCACAAAAGAGAGTAGAAATAAGATAACAGCCCACAAGGAAGGGGAAATAGAACTGAAAGTTACATCCTACCAGCTATTAAGTGTAGAGATGAAGTGAGATTTACCAAAAGTTGAGCTGAGTTAGAAAGGATATTAACAAATAACAAAAGGCTTCTGATATAAAAAGAGAACAAGAAAAGGAGTGGAAGCCATTATGCATCAAGGAGGGGATAGAGCTACAAGGTAAAAAAAAAAATAGGCAATAGGAGTCAATGACCCAAGAGGTACTTTCTAAGGCAGTGATTCTCAACTATTTTAGATTCAAGGCACCCCTGGACAGACCTGAGACACTTCTTGGAAAACGTCAGCTCTTAGTTTTCACTCTTTGCTTTTTGACGACAGAAAAATAATACAGCAATTCTTCTGCTACAAAGACCTCCGGTCACAACAGGCCAGAATGTTTTTAATCCTACAAACCCCTGGGTGAAAACCCTGGGTTTCTCTTGTCCATCACGTTTGCCACAGCACCCTGCTTGAGAACCACTGCTCTAAGGTCTTGCCTACCCCCGGAGCTGCTCTGACTGGTGTAATTAAACAGCCACGACCCCTCAGAGCAGTTTCTCACCAGTCTGGGGGTCACACTGCCCCTTTAAGCCAGTTGTGCTGCTATGTGGCTTGATGGCTCCATGCCAGGGAGCATAAAAAAAGAGATGCTTGATGTCACTGGCACCACCCCGCTACCTCTCCAGCAGCCTAGCCTGGCCTTTCATTTGTGCCTTTGCTTGCTTCCCCTCTTTATACGTCTCCTTTCCCTTCTCCTCTCCCCCTCCCTTTCTCTGGCCTGCCCCCCCCCGCCCCCCAGCTGTCACCAGCACCTGGG